GGCCGGCGGAGGGCCTCCTGCCCTCGAGGGGTGCTCGTCTGGGTCCGCCTCGCGAGGGCGCGGAAGCTTCTCTGCAGTCGGATGTCAGGCCAGCGCCCTCGGAGAGGCAGCCTCCTTCTGCGTGGCCTCCTCCCTTCCCCTGCCCCCCCGCGCGCGCCCCGCCAAGCCTCGGGCGACGGAGTCTAGACATCTCCACTGCCCCCTGGTCGGGCCCAGCTTGAGCCCAGGAGCCGTGTGTACGCCCTGCTGGGCAAGCCAGGAGGGCGTGGCGTACACCTTAGGCGATGCTTAAGAAAACTTAAATTTTCGGCCAGAGTCTCGTTTATTCTTAATGTTTCAATGTAAATCCTAAGATTTGAACAGAATTTTTGGGTTTTTATTCAATCTCTGAGACTATGAATTTCTTAACCCATGATTTCTTAAGCATTTCGCAGGGTGTATACACCGCTGCTGGGCTCAGGATGGGCCTGGACGGGGCGCAGTGCGGGAGCGCTTCCAGGTCTGTGTGCACGGCCCTTCTCGCGCCCCACGCCCACTCGCCGAGCGCCGCCCCTGAAAGGACTCTGAAGCCTGGCAGGGAAAAAGGAGAATCAGGAGGGGGAAAAACACACAGACACCATTCATCGTCGACTCCCCAGAAAATGTGGGAAGTGGGGGGGGAGACAAAACCCAGAAAATATAGGAAAAGATTCGGAATCTTTTTATGTGTGTGTCTTTATTTGTGTGTCCCAGGGCCCCTTCAGAGAACTGCGAAGCACGTCCAGCCTTCCTCGCCCTGAGCCCTTGGCCCCCCTCGCCGGCGCGCCCCTGGACAGAGCGGCCCCGGCGGGGACCGAAACCGCGCCGGCGCCAGCACGAGCCCTAAAGGCCCCACGGACAAGAAAGGGCCCCCCTCTCGGCGGCCACAAACCCAGACCCCCTCGGGCCATGAATCAGCCACGCGCAGAGGAGGGTGGGGGGAGGGGGGAGGGCTTCTTAGAAGCACCCATGCCCATCTGCTTCTTAGAAGGCGAGGGCCTTCTCTATAAGTGCAAGGCTGGCGCCTTCTAAGAAGCACCCTCCTCTAAGAAGCCCTACCCCCTCCCCCCACCCCCTTGTGCGCGCCGCCAAATGAAAAAGTCACGGCGGGAGGTTTTTCGCTCTGTTCGGCCTCCGGGGGCCGTCGAAAATCCCCCTGTAGGGGGACAGGCCCGACGTAAGTCTAGACGTCGTCGCCCCGAGCCCTTGGCCCCCCTCGCCGGCGCGCCCCTGGGCAGAGCGGCCCCCGCGCGGGGACCGACAAACCGCGCCGGCCAGCACGAGCCCCACAGAGGCCCCCCACGGCCCGTTTTAAGTCTAGACGTCGTCGCCACGAGCCCCGACGTCATGATTTTTTCATGACGTCGACCCCCCGAGGTCTGGACCCTTTCGCCGGGACCGGTTTTTCGTCCTGAGTCGTTTTTTGACGGTACCGAGGGCCGGTAAGGGCCCCCGAAGGCCAAAACTAATGAAAAACCTCCCGTCGTGATTTTTTCATAACTCGAGGGGGTCTGGGCCCCGAGCCCTTGGCCCCCCTCGCCGGCGCGCCCCTGGGCAGGGCGGCCCCCGCGCGGGGACCGACAAAGCCGCGCACGGGCCAGCACGAGCCCTACAGAGGCCCCCCATCGGCGCAGAGAGGGCCCCCCTCGGCGGCCACAGGCCAGGAGGGAAGGAGACACACAGACGCAATGAGTCGTCGATCCCCCAGAAAAGGTGTGGAAAATATGGGAAGTGGTGGGGAAGACAGGAGCCCGGAAAATATGGGGAACTTGTTATTTGTGTGTGTTTAGTTGTGTGTCCCAGGGCCCCTTCAACAAACCCAGACCCCCTGGGGCCACGACAAAGTCACGGCGGGAGGTTGTTCGCTCTGGTCGGCCTCCGGGGGCCTCGGGGCCGTCAAAGCAACGGCCCAGGATGAGAAGCCAGTCCGGGGGAAGGGGTCCAGACCTCTGGGGTCGACCTCATGAACAAGTCACGACGTCGGGGGTCTGGGAAGGTGGGAAGGGTGTGGTTGCGCCGGGGTGTGGTCCGCGGGTTTGCGATAGGCGCCGATGGGGCCTGGAGGGCACGTGACTGTCCTCGTCGGGACTCTTCGGGGCGCGGCGGAGAACGTCCATCGATGTCCCCGCCCGCCCCCCAGGGTACCCCCCAGGGTGCCGGTTGCAAACCGCAGCCTTGGCAGACCGCACCCTTCGGCGTCGCCGACCTTCCCATGCAGAAGACGAGACAGCTGCAGAAGCTAGCAGTCGAGGCGCTGAACTGAGGACCACTTTGGTTCGGTAGCAAATCATGGGAGCCTGGCATACGGTAGGTTTGCGTCGTGTCGACCCGCGGCGACCCCAGCGCGGGCGTTCAAGGTTGAACGCCGCCGGCGACCCAGAATCGATCGATGTTGAACGATCGGACGTTGCGGCAGCGGCCGATCGTTCAAGGTTGAACGATCCCTGCGGTGTCAAAAACCAACGCTGGGGTCGGCACGACACGAACCTGCCGTACCCGTTTACTTCTGCCTTCAGCGTCGGTCAGCGCCGACGGGCGCCTGGGAGCCGACGCGATAGCGCCGATGCAGCGCCGATGCAGCGTCGAGCAGCGTCGATTTCGCGTCGTCGAGCGTCGAGTTGGCGCCGATGGTAGGGCCGCTTCGCAAGAGCCGACAAGAGGGCATGGGAGGCCTCCGCGAGTTGCCCCCGAATTTTTGGGGCGCTCTGGCGTGGGCTTGGTGGCCGGGCCGCCCCTTATATACAGAGCCCGCTCGTGGCCAAGGCGCTCGCCCCTTCGGCCGGGGAGGGCCCCCCCCCTTGCGCTCCCCTCGCGCCGCGTGCCCTGCCGCAGCACGGCGAATGTGATATTCTGCTCCCGGAGGCCCGCCCGGGTCTCTTCCCAGACACAAGTCGGGCCGGTCCTTCTACAGGGGGAGTAGCTTCCAACATGGTCACAAGATAGTCTGGGGGCGATGTTTGTTCCGAGTATCTTTGACCATTCTTGGAGCGTTTTTGGGGTACAGTGAGCGACTTGAGTAAGGAACACTTACTTTTCAAAACGGGCTC